GCTAATATTGTATTTACTAGTTTTTTTTTATGGAACCAAATAAGACCACATCTCGGATTTGAGATTCTGCACTATTCGGTATCCATTTGCGTTTCTTTTCGCCGAAGCTCGATTTGATTTTAACGAAATCTCCCCTGTAATTCATGGCCAATCGCCTTACTATCTGGTTCAACTATCCATAATGTGTTTGACGAAATGCCCCCACTGACTTTCTTTCAGTCCGCACTGGTACTTAGCCTGAAAGGTAGAGACTGATTCAGGAGGGTGACCGTGTGAGCCATGATCTGAGGTCAAATAAGGCTAAGAAACACTCAAGCAAGGTGAAGCGGGCTAATCCCACGATGGGTGCAAACTTGGGAAGAACGAGGGAAGTGGAAGTGGATGAATCAGATACCCACTTCAATGTTGATTCGGACGACCTCCTATCTTCTCCATCATCACACTCAATGACTCGGGCACAACCAATTGAGGGTACTCCAGAGGCTCCATATGCGAGGGACTCCTAATCTACTATATCAAAAGGAGGTGAGGATAGCCCTTTTCCGGACTCGGGTGCTAACCAGTTCGAGCTTAAAAGTCGGAAGGCATCCTTGGAGCCGGATTCCATTAGGCTGCCTGGTGAAGGAAGAAATTGGCGGGCACTGGAAACCTTTGAGCAAGGGATCACTGATGTGGAGAATAAGGAAAGGCAGCCTCCTAGTGTGGGAACAATCTAAGGAGGTGGTATAAGTGAGACCCTCCATGCGTATGAATATGGGCCGAAAATGGAGAACCTGGAAATGGGTAGTCGGAAGAAAATCTTTAATGAGGTGGGTGGTGACCAGAAGGACGGTCCCACTTTGAAGAGGCAATTCATAGAAGAGGAGATTGATGTGGAAGTGGTGGAGGAAGCATCCAGTGACCCAGGGAGATAAATGAGACTTCGGCTTGGAATGTGAGAAGGATTGGACCAACCTTCACATTCCAAACTGCTTTAGAAACAAGTTTTAGTCGGAGAGTAGTTGCTCGCAGGATGTGAGGTTTAGGATTTGATGTTTCCCAGTATTTCTTTGTTGACACGATTAATGGGTCTGGTGGTCTTGTAGTAGCTTGATCCCCCAGAGCCGAAGTTGATGCTTCTGTGTTTTGTCATTCCAGTTCTTACACTGTTGTTCGAATTAATGAGAACAATTTTCCTTATGTGGTTGTGTTTGTTTATATTAGTTGTATTGAGACAACTCAATCTAACCAACTAGAACAATTGCAAAATTTATATGAAGAAATCCAATTACCATATGTGGTAATTGGGGATTTCAATACAATTTTGGCAAAGAGTGAGAAGGAAGGGGGAATCTTTGGAACCCTACTCGATCAATGTCTCTAAGGGACTTTGTGCCGAATTTGGTCCTCCATGACCCTAGCTACCAGGTTGACCAATTCACTTGGGATAATAAGCGGATGGTTTTTGCATCCGCGAGAGACTAGATCGAGCTCTTTACCCTTTGTCTTGGGTCGAGCAATTCCCCGACACTTAAGTGAAGAACTTCATGGATCAGGGATCTGACCACCGAGCCCTGTTATTTTCAAATAAACCCTACACTCATAATAGTCGTTCGCTCTTCTGATTAAATGCTCGTTGGCTAGATAATCCGGAGGTACGGGGAATGGGTAACCTATGTGTGGAATGAACATATTTACGGGTCCCCAATGTGCAAGCTCTAGGTTCACTTGAAACGCCTACATCACCTCTTATATGACTGGAGTAGGGCGGTCACAATGAATTCCTTGCAAAATATCAAGACCCTCTAGGAAAATAAGATAGGGTAAAACAGGTCCACCCCATCAAGTGGGATGCAGTTCGAGACCTAGAGACAGATCTTAGTTGCCAATGTGAGGCAGAGGAAATTTACAAGCAGTAGAAATCTAGGGTACGGTGGGTTAAGAAAGGTGACCGTAATACATCATACTTTCACATAGTCACAAAGGCGATGAGGAAGAGGAATTTTGTGGCAGGTTTATAAGATGATAATGGGGAATGGACAACGAAGAAAAAAGGGAAGGAAAACATTGCTATTAATTTTTTCTAGACTCTATTTAAACTCTGAGAATTAGGTGGGGAATATGGCCGCACGTGTGGCCGACCGCTCGATTGATAGGACAGTGACGAATGCTATGAATGAGGTATTGACGGGCGAAGTTCGGACTCTTGAACTTCGCCAAATGATATTTTCAATTAGGTCCACACAAGCACCTGGCTTGGACGAATTCACTGGCAAATTTTTCAAATAATTTTGGGATACTCTCGGCGAGTCAGTGGTTGATGCTCTTTGCTCCTTCTTTAGAATGGAGCGAATGTTGCGAAGCTTTACACTTGACTGAATTTAATTTCCAAAATTGGACAATGTGGAGAATATGAGACATTTGAGACCGATTAAGTTTATGCCAATTTGTGTATAAGTTCATTTCCAAAATAATGTCTGAACGGTTGGCCCAATTCCTCCCCCAGATTATTTTGTCTGTATAGAATGCTTTCATTCGGGAAAGACATATTGTGGATAATGTCCTTCTTGGACAGGAATTGATGCATTACCTAAAAATTAAAACTAAGGGAAATAAGGGTTATATGGCTCTAAAGATTGATATGGAGAAGACCTATGATAGAGTCGAGTGACCCTTGCTACTCATTTGGAAACCTGAGCAAGACATGCTTACCCAGATTCTTGGTGGTGGGGGCGGTAGGGATGTAAGATAAATATTTAGACCTTCTCACCTTGTTTATGCAGTTTAAAATGGGTATGTTTCACTTTCTGGAAGAAAAGCTTATATAGAGGCTCCAAGTATGGTTACAGAGAACTTTATCATGAGCGCCAAAGGAGACATTGATCAAATTAGTTGCTTCTTCATTACCCTTTCATGAAATATCTTGTTTTAAACTACCACTATCCCTATATAGTATTTTGGATAAACATGTGGCCAGATTTGGTGAGTGGGGTGGGGGGGTCAGTCCCATATCCGTTGGATGTCATGGAGAAACTTGTGCCGAAGTAAACATGATGGGGCAGGGGTTTCATTGTTTCGAGCACTTTAATCTGGCCTTTTTGGCCAAAATTGGGTGGTGAATCCTTAACGAACCCTAATCCCTTCTCGCTTAGGTTTACAAAGGAATGTACTTCCCTACCAGAGCCTTCTTTACGGCTACTGCATGTTCTCGAACTTCTTTGGGATAGCAGAGAATTCTGCATGGTCGCCATTTACTTCTTCAAGGGTTATGTTGGCAGGTTGGGAATGATGAAGTGCCTCTATCCGGAATTCCATATGGGTTCTAAGTTTACATCAGAATGCCCCGCTTTGTCACCATCAGGTAATACCGGAGGGCAGTGACCCGACGGTGGTAGAGCTAATGGAGCTAAAGGAGGTCAATGGAGTGACGAGCGACTCACACAAATGTTCCCTCCAGAAGTTTTCCACGCCATTAAAGCAATCTAGCTACCTCGTATGGATATAAACGACTCTTTGATCTGGCATAATTCTCGGGATGGGACACGGGGTGTTTACCGTGAAGTCTGCTTACCACTTAGCATTTTTGACTGACATGCAGCGAGGTATTTGGTTTAAAACTGTCAGTTGGATGGATAAAGGAAACTGGATTCGGATGTGGGAGCTACCAATTCCACCCAAACTGAAACTTTTCCTCTGGAAGATATTCCATCGCATCCTCCCAACTACAAAGGCTCTTGTTGAGAAGGAGGTCGAAGTAGTGCCCCGTTGCCCAGTCTGTTGGGCAGATTCGAAGACAATGAAGCATATGTTTCTGGATTGCCTAGTGGCACAAGCACTATGGGACTAGTCTGGTTTGCAGTATCTAGGCCAAGGGCTCCCACGCCATACTTTTCCATTATTTCTATAGAAGTTAATGGTATTGGTCAATCAACCCCACCAAATTATGATTGTAGTAACAGTCCGTTGACAGATTTGGTGATCCATGAATTGGGTAGTTTTTTAGGGTAAACAATTCCGGATTTTTAATTGATGCGACAGTATCATCAACAAGTTCAGGAAATGGATTAGTCTGCTAACTGATAAAGTGATCCCACATACCCATCCCCAAGTTCGGGGACCGTGCTCGGATGATCAGGCTTCATTCATGTGGGAGGACTGTGCGACAAGGAGACGTCCCACTTCGTATTGGGGGGGGGGGGGTGATTCAAAATGACCCCAGAGGATCCGTTATTTTGGCTAGAGGGATGTACGTTAAGAATATTGATGATCCAACCTTAATAGAGCTTCTGATCCTTCAGAAGGTCATCTATCTAGTGGTGTCTGGATCTTGGTCTTTCGCATGTTCGTTTTGAAGGGGATGCGAAGGTGGTCATTGATAAGATAACCCTAGCAAACACGCGAGTTAGTTACTCTGGGGCCATTATTGAGGGAGTCCTATGTTTGTTGGCGCTTCGTGGGGGTTTTGTTGTACGGTTTGTAGGTCAAATTAGCAATAAGTAGCCCATTTGATGGCTAGAAATGCCATTTCTTTATACTCGACCTCGTGTCGTTTCTTTGATTTTTTTGTCTTGAATTCATACTAGAGTATAATATGTTTTATCTCTTTTTCAATCAATATATGATTATTTTTTGTAAAAAGAAAAAAATTCTTCACTAGTCACCACAATCACTTATTAGGAAGAAAAGAGCTTTAGTAGAGACCATTGACTCAATCCAATTTGGTAAGGGTGATAATTACACAGTTACAATTAAAAAGCTTTTCCTTCTACAAACCAGAATCCTTATCATAAAAGGAAATAGTGAGAGTAATAAATAAACAATTTATCAAGAATAATCACAGTCCCTTGACTCTTCTCCCCACTCGCTCCACTAAACCGCCACGTCATCCCACACCTCACGTGGAAACATCACCAACCGCCGGTGCATTTCCCCGCGAATAACCCGCGTGTGGCGGGCGGGAATACCACGCGCGAAAAAACCGTTAAGAGACCCCGTATATAAATAGTCACACACGATCGAGAGCCGACTCTTCAGTATCCTTGTCACGATTCAACTCTTCTTCCGTACAAGCACAAAAAAACAAAAAACAAAGATTTCAATTCCCTTTCTCTTGGTTAAGACTTGTTTCCCATAAACCCTAGGAATTCAAACTCCGTTATGGACTCCATGGCGGCGAAGGAGCAGTTTCGTCGGCGGAGTCACAGCGATCGAGTACCGAGCGACTCCCATCACGGCCGCATTGATGATGATCACCAGCACCATCCGCCGCCTATGAAGAAGGCGAAGCAGGAGCCCGGCGTCCCGGGGTGTTTCGTTCCGTCGGCTTTTCTTGCGCCGCTCCCGCAGCGGATGGTTCTCCCGCAGTCGTCAGAAGCGCCGCAGCGCGGCCGCGTTTCGAGTGGTAGTAGTAATAGTAATAGAAAGAAAGAGACGGTGGTTTCTGGCGGCGGCGGCGGCGGGAGGAAGGAGGAGGGATCGATAGCAAAGGTCGACGACAGCATTTCGCCGGTGGCACGCGGGTGCAGGCAGTTCTGGCGCGCTGGGGATTACGATGACCCCAATGGCATCGTTCCTGCCGCTCACTCTTCCGGCGGTTCGTCTCAATTTCACCATTTTTCTTTGGAGTTTTAGTTCAAGTCATTGGAATTTAGTGTGTTTTTTTGCCTTCTTTAATTTCTTCAATTTTTTCCCCCTTCTATATTTATCATTTTATGTCTTTTTTTTTCTTTTGCAATTTTTCGGTTTATTTCGTAATTTGTGGATGCAGTTGGATTGGATCATGTGAGAGTCCACCCAAAGTTCTTGCACTCTAATGCCACTAGTCATAAATGGGCGCTTGGAGGTAATCTTCATCCCATAATTAACTCCTTAATCACACTAACTAATTCTCCTTAAAAGCAATTAAGTAACCGATTAACCTTATTGACAAATTTTCCTCTTCCTTGTTAATGTTTTGCCAGCATTTGCTGAACTTCTTGACAATGCTGTAGACGAGGTATAGTCTAATCCGCTGGCTAGTTTTTCCACTAATGGAAATCGATTCCTTGCGTGCCGTCTTCCTTCTTCCACCTCTTGGTCTGTCTAACTCGTTTGTAAAATGTGCGTGTTGTGTGCATATAAACAGATTGTTCATGGTGCTACTTACATCAACGTGGACCTCCTCAAGAACCCAAAAGATGGCTCCAAGATGCTTCTAGTCGAAGGTGAATATATATATGTGCTGGTTAATATCGTGTTATTTAAGCTTAAGCTAATTAATTAAATTGTCCTATACTTAAAATGCTAATTAATTATATTGTTATATAAAAATGCAGATAACGGCGGTGGAATGACGCCGAACAATATCCGGCAATGCATGTCTTTGGGGTATTCAGTTAAGAGCAAAAGTTCGAACACTATTGGCCAATGTGAGTTTAATGATGCGGGATCTTTTACAGTTGGGAATTGATTTCATCGTAATTAATTACTAATTGCAGTAGCTTAATTAAAAAAAAATGCAGATGGAAATGGGTTTAAGACGAGTACAATGAGACTGGGGTCAGATGCGATTGTGTTCACTCGCTGCCCAGCAGCTGACGGCCAAAGGTAAAATTTGTACATTCTGTTAAGTAATTTTTTTTACCGTGGTTAATTTTTCCTTACGATGATTAGCTAATTCATCTTTGATTTGGTAGCGAAACGCGGAGCATTGGGCTGCTCTCGTACACCTTCTTGAGGTCGACGAAGAAGGAAGACACTGTTGTTCCCATGGTAATTAAGATTTAAGATTCACTGTTTTTCTACCTTAATACGATTAATAATTTACATTTACTAATGACTTTGACCCCCTTGCTGTAAAACACAATCCTGCAGATTGACTTTATGCAAACAGGACAAGGTTGGCAGCCGTTGACAAGGTCAACTCCAGCGGATTGGAACATGAACCTTAGAACTGTACTCTTGTGGTCTCCTTTTGTGTCTGAAGAGGATCTCATTGGCCAGGTGAGTTTGTGTTAACATTTAATTGCGAGACTTTCCTTTATGGGAATTGCTTAACTGTGACATTATTCATTGGTATTTTGCTGCTTTGTTTGGGTACTGTAGTTTGACTACATGGGAAGCAAAGGTACCAGAATCATAATCTATAACCTTTGGGAGGACGACGAAGGGAAGTTGGAGCTGGATTTCGAGGCTGATCAAGAGGTACCCAAATTCTTAGTTATGATCTAGACTCATCACCGTTCTTTTTTCTCGATTGCTGATATGATCCTTTGATTTTGGGGTGGCAGGACATTCAAATCAGAGGAGCCAACAGAGATGAGAAGAACATAGAGATGGCCAAGCAGTATCCTAACTCCAAACACTTCCTCACATACAGGCACTCATTGAGGGTAATTTCATTGATTCTCTCCCTAGCTAAGTAATTAATCTCCTGATCGTCATGGGTTAGTTAGCTGACACTATGTGTGTTGGCCAGAGCTATGCTGCAATTCTGTACCTGAAGCTCCCAACCGAGTTTCGAATCACGTTGCGTGGTTCAGAAGTTGAGCATCATGACATTGTTAAGGACATGATAGAACCCAAGAAGATTACTTACAAACCGCAGCAACTTGCGGATGGAGTGGTGAACAACAATGAGGTAACGCATAGACTGTTTTGGAGTGGTGTATTTAGGAGGGCGTTATTTGCACATCCCCGCGATATGAAATTTGAACAAATGTCTGATTTTGTTTGCAGGTCAGCGCAGTGCTGAATATTGGGTTTGTGAAGGATGCTCGCCATCACATTGATGTGCAAGGGTTCAATGTCTACCACAAGAACCGGCTAATCAAGGTAATTGGTTTGAATAATTTGTTTTACTTCGCTTAAATTTGGCCGAGTCCATTTCATTTCCTTAAATCTGATGAAACTTCAACTCTTTCAGCCTTTCTGGAGGGTGTGGAATGCTGCAGGAAGTGATGGCCGTGGTGTCATAGGTTTGTTTTTTGTCTCGTTCGATCATTCAAGTGTTTCGTAATATGTAATGTTGGCTTCAAGATTTGAGATTAAATTTGATTACTGCTTAGGTGTTCTGGAAGCAAATTTCATTGAGCCAGCTCATGACAAACAAGGGTTTGAGCGCACAACACTACTTTTGAGACTGGAGGCCAGATTAAAAGACTACCAGAAACAGTTCTGGTATGCCAAAGTTTCAACCTTTGTTCACCTGTTCTCTTCCCAAGTTTCAGTCATTCATTTTACTGTGCTGCTGTAACTTTTTTTTTTTGGCACTAATCGTCAGGACAAGTAAGTGCCATGAGATTGGGTATGCTCAAAGGGTGAAACCGAAAAATACCACTCCATCATCATCCAGCAAGAAAGCTAGTAACAGTATCATCAGCAAAAGCAGCCCTTCACCATCAATCCAGGATGGAAAGATTCTCCCCCTCAATGGGCCTAATCAGAAGAGCAAACTGTCTAGTTTAAAGCATTCTGAACGAGCTTCACCAGAAGAGGAAGAGGGAACTGTAAAACATTCTTCGATTGCATTAAGAGATGAAGTTAGTTGTGAGTCAAAAGGTGAAGGAAAGTTCAGTCTGCTTCAAAGCTTAGCAGAAGAAAGAGCGAAGAGCAAGCAACTGGAAATGGAGCTTGGAGAGCAGACCAAACTGCTTGAGGTTGTTGAAAAGGAAGCACAAACTTCGATGAACAAGATTCAGGCCATCACTGAAAAGATTCAGCACGAGAAGGAGTGGAGGGATGCTGTTGAGCAGATTTTGAGGGAAAGTTTGAAGGTAATGTGTTACTAACAATTTTGATTCTGTGATAAAGATACTAAAACTATGTTGCTAAAATCTGTGTTTTCGGGCTGTTCTTGTTTTCTTCTTCAGAGTGCTGAGCAGACCATTGCTAGGTTGAAAGAGAGAGTTAGGCAGCTTGAAGAAGGGCAGATGGTAGATGGATCTGGGTCTAGTTAAGCACAGTTTTAGTGAGGAATCCTCACCCATGTGGTTCTTGTAGAACTGCAGCTTGGAATAGATATGATGTACAGACTGATCAGGAGCTAATATTTTGTTGAAACATCTGAAAAGAACCTGACATATATCATGGACTTGCGTCTTATCTTGTTCTGTTATAATGTAAATTGGTATAGTCCAACCAACTAATAGAAGAACAGTTTACTTTAGCTGTCATCAGAGTACAAACATATAAGACGATGGTAAGCTTCTCCTCCCTCCCCCATATGTTAAGGTGGAGCAACAGGAGGCAATGGAGGAAACCTTTCCTTCACCTTCCTGCAAAGAGTTCGAGAAATTTCGATTGCCTTGTAACTCAAGGCACTGAAGTTCTAGATGCAGAAATTCTGCCTGCCTAGATTTCCCTGAGATTTGGTCTCCTGTGGTTCTGAGACCAGGAAGGCTGCAGGTTGAAGCTGGGGACTTGATCAAACTTGCTTGACACATTGATTGAATAGATGAGCCATCATCGACACAGTCGATTGCTTCGACCGTTGGGGATTTCAAGCTTGTAGACTCCATACTTGTTGGTTGTTCTGTGTTGACTGAGAAGTGGATCTGTTCTTCTGTTCTTGGCGAGCTTGCTCTCAATATGCATTGAACGTGAACCTTAGCATCTGATGATAATGGAAATGAAACCCATCCATAAGTTAGCATTATATAGGTGGAGCTCAATATCCATCAGTAACAGAGCTTTGTTTGGATGGCTAAGGTGGAGCACAATTCGCTCATCTGATAATCTCAACTTTTCAAGAATCAGTATCCACTTTAAGAAAGAAGGCATGGGATCAATTTGGGTTCTGGTTCAACCGAAATGAAACAAACGAGTATTTATAGACCCAAAATCAATAATTAGTTGAGATTAAAACTAGTGTTTCATTGTCGAAATTCGAAGCCCAAATGATATATCAGTTTAGGTTTTGCTTAACCGAAATTTCAACTAAACTTCACAGAAACTGGGGAAATAGAAAAACGTACCGAACTTACATCTCAGATTCTCTAAAATGGCTGCACAATTTTAAACCTGCATTATAAGGAACACTTAGTACTAATAATAACAACTACGTAATCTTTACAAATGGTTTTGTGGTGTAGTTGGTTATCATGTTAGTCTAACACACTCAAGGTGTCCGGTTCAAACCTGGACGAAGCCATTTAAACATTATAAATTTTTTCTTTTTTCACTTCTTGAAGCACTGCTGTGTACTGAATCTCCAACATTGGTTGTCACTTATGCAGGACTCAAATCATATATCAATCTTAAACTCACTACTATAAAAACAACCCTGACCCAAAGGAATGAGCTTTTGAATGTGTATTTACCTGGCAAGAAGTAACTCTGTCTACTATGCGTCACAGTAGACAAAACCCATAATGGTAATCCTGGTGCCTTGAGGATTCTCTGGCTGAACAAAGACGCATAGTGAGAGGTGAGACTGTGAGTGATGAAGAGAAAGAGGAAGGGAATAGAATGGAGGAGCCATGGAAGAACAAAGCTTCTTCTTTGAGCTAGGGCAGTTTGTAGTAGGGGAGTAATTTTGTGAAAAGAACAGAACACTTTTCTACTTGCCGCTGCTGCTGTTGTCATCATTGCTTGCTATGTTGTTTGTCGTGGAAATTGTTCATGTATACTATTTTCTTGCAACACAAGTCATATAAAGAGATCAAAGTGAGAAAAAGTTAAGGAGAAGAAATCAAGAAACATGCATAGAAATGAATGGAGGAGCCATGGAAGAACAAAGCTTCTTCTTTTGAGCTAGAGCAGTTTGTAGTAGGGGAGTAATTTTGTGAAAAGAACAGAACACTTTTCTACTTGCTGTTGTTGTTGTTGTCATCATTGCTTGCTATGTTGTTTGTCGTGGAAATTGTTTACGTATACTATTTTCTTGCAACACAAGTCATATAAAAAGATCAAAGTGAGAAAAAGTTAAGGAGAAGAAATCAAGAAACACGCATAGAAATGTTATCAAAACATGCATAAACAACGCCCGAGCCAATAGAATTCATTATTTCTAGTTAAATAAATTTAGTTCCCCTCTACGGTACCGAAGGTTAATGAAACTATTCCTCCCAGGAATAGAACGAACGTACTTTTACTGTAACACCCTTTCTTACATAACATAAAACCATGCATATTTAAAAATATTTGCTTAAACTATATTACAACACCTGATAATTATTTCAAACATGCATAAAAGAAAACCCCTTTTCTTTTCCCAAAAGCCCTAATATGTACATGTGGAGATTCGAGTCATCCGCCCACCTCATCGCGGTCAAACTGGAGCTTGCCTTGTCCCCAACTTCTACTTCTGCTTCTCAAATCTGAGGGAAAAATATTGACGGGAGTGAGACGTCACGTCAATGAGTAAGCCCTATCCTAGTATCAGAACTAATATAACCATAACATTAAGCATTAACGATATTAATTTTCACATCTAACATTCAACTCATAATTTTCATGATACTAAAGTCTTACTTCATCATACGCAAACATACATACCCACACATCCATCACACATAGTTCATATATATACAGGTTTGCAATTCATCATCAAAGTTCCATATTATCAGGCTTAGTCATGCACCCCACCAATTCCCTTTACCATTTCTTCCCTACTCCGCCTCCTCCACCTCATCCTCGATGCCTAGGACTCTCCCCCTACACCAACCTAAGGCACCGGAAAGTCTCTCCCTTAATGAGGCTTCTCACCTCAAGACTTATCGCCTCCATCACAATGTGGCATCTCACCACACAATACAAGGCTTCTCGCCTCTATATAACATGGTGGCTTCTCACCACCGATACTAGTGTGGTCTCTCACCACAATTGCTACCGTGGCTTCTCGCCAGCATCCCTACTCCTCTACTCCCCCTTTTGGATGCCTGACTCACCATGGTATGTTATTTACATTTAACATTCGTTTAATTTACTATTTATCATTACAGCCACCACAATCATCCATGACTATCATCATTATTATCATCAAGGAGGCTCTTCATGCCTCTCATTCAACATTACCCATCATAATTATCATTCACACATGCATCACGGCCTCTACTCACCATCATCACATTTTCCATTTTTCCCATCATATACTGAATCACACTATTAAGACCATTAAGAGACTCACATAATATAATTCATCACAAAAACCATTTCACCACAATAATCATCCACATTTAATTGAAGAATTTTGTATTTGGGCCGCTTCATGACCCAAATATCATGCTCATATTAGTTGAGCTACTAAGTTAGGAATTACTCACTTCACGTTTATTCAACTATACCCTTGCCTCTTGATGTTTCCCCTGCTAGCTCCTTTCCTTTAAGAAATAAGATGACCACATTTAATATCATAGCTAACAATTTATCTATTAATTAACCGATGAACATAATCTAAATAATATAATTAATACGAATTGTTATACGTAACCAGTTAATCTCTTTACCACATAACGCACACCCAGCTACTCACTGGACATCACCTTGATTACCCCAAATTCGTGCCTCATATCCCTATAAATATACATATCTATACCCCATCATTCTCACACCCTGCTCCCTTTCTCAACTAATTAAATTCTCTTTTTAATTAATCCAATACTTACCTACTTTTCAATTCAACACAACAGAATTCGTATACATATAATTGCAGGCATAAATATAAGTACACCCCCATCTAAAATCAACACATGCTTAAACTCATGGGAAAGCACTCAAGAATCACAATCCCATTAATTATAATAACTCACTCTCAAGTTAAACTACCCGTAAGAACTGTCACGACCTTACTCTTGATCGTGCGGCCCTAGCTCTCAATTCCGTTAGAGCGCTAGGCAGCCTTTCTCTCAACTCACTTGAAAGCAAAGAACAAGAACAAAGACAAAGGAAATGGGAGAACTCTCTAGTGTGTATTACTCTAAAAAATGATGGAATGAGTACAAATGAGGGAGATGGCTCCTTATATAGGCCTCTCCACATACAAGGCATCAATGCCCCTCATAAAGTCCCTCTACTACATCAATACACCCCATTAAGTCCCCCCATTATGCACTCTATCAATGTCACCATTATGTGACTCATAAGTGCACTATAAAGCTCTACATTATGGTGGAGAATCCTAGGAGCATCTCTATGCTACTAGCCTTCCATGCATGCCACATGTGCTGCTGCCATGTTGTCACCTTGTTGGCGCCATGTCATCTGCCACATGTGACATCCTCCCCCACCTATGCTCGCGACGCCCTCGTCGCGTCCTCTTGATGGAATGCTTCGATCAAGTCCTTGTTCTTCCAAAGCGTGAGCTCTTTCTTCCATGTTGCTTCACTCTCCGGAAGGTTGCGCCACTTGACTAAGTACTCCACAAAGCTTGGATGTACGCCGCGACGAGGAATGACACGACGCGCCATGATTTCTTCGACTTCATGGTCGTGTGTCTTGGTGACGAGTGTTGGTGCGCGCTGCGGCTCCCTTCGCTGCTCGTCCTCCTTGTCTTCGTGGTAAGGTTTGAGTTGGCTCACATGAAAGACCGGATGGATCTCTAAGTGCGTCGGCAGCTCTACCTTGTATACCACATTGCCAATCCTCTTCACGATGGGGAATGGCCCTTCATAGCGGCGAAGCAGTCCCTTGTGCACGTTCTTGAGATGTTTGAACCGATGAGGGTAGAACTTGACCATCACCATGTCTCCCTCTTCAAACTCCAAGTGCCGCCGCTTCTTGTCCGCCCATTTATTCATCTTCTTACTAGCGCGGGCTAAGTAAGACTTGGCCATCTCCATCTTCTCGTGCCAACCTTTACCGAACTTGTAGGCCGCTGGACTGTTGCCTCTATACCCCGTTGCCACCGTCGTAGGTGTCAAAGGTTGTTGCCCCGTCGCCAACTCAAATGGACTCGTGTTGGTCGACTCGCTGCGGTGTAAGTTGTAGGAAAACTGCGCCGTGTCCATCAACTTCACCCAATCTCGTTGGTTGGCACTCACGTAATGCCGTACGTACACTTCCAACAAGGCATTCACCCGCTCCGTCTGTCCGTCGCTTTGAGGATGAAATGCCGTCGAGAAGTTCAAGTTTGAGCCCATGATCTTGAACAACTCTCGCCAAAATCTGCCCGTGAAGCGGCCATCTCTGTCGCTCACGATGCTGCTAGGAATGCCCCAATACTTGACCACGTTCTTGAAGAATAGCCGTGCTGCATCCTCCGCCGTTAAGTCTTTTAGCCCAGGAATGAACACTCCATACTTCGAGAATCTGTCCACCACAACCATGATGCAACCGCACCCATCGACTTTGGGAAGTTCGATGATGAAGTCCATGCTCACACTCTCCCATGGTCGTTGAGGCGTGGGCAAGGGCTCTAGCAAGCCTGCCGGGCTTCTCTGCTCCATCTTGTCTTGTTGGCACACAAGACAAGTCTTCACATACATCTCCACGTCGTCTCTCATACGCGGCCAGAAATATGCTTCTTCGATGAGCGCTTGCGTTCTCTCGATGCCGGGATGGCCCGCCCACTTGGAATCATGGCACTCCTTCATGATCTCCTTCCTCAAGTTGGCCCATCTTGGCACGAACATCCGCTCTCCCTTGGTCATGATGAGCCCATCCTTCATCCAAAACCGCCGAGTTTTACCTTGCTCAATGTACTCCGTTACGGTTTTGGCGAAGGGGTCATGGCCAAGGCCTTCAACGATCCGCTCCTTCAAAGGAAACGTGGGCTGGCTGATGCTTGCGGCTGCACTCTTGCGGCTAAGAGCATCGGCAACGGAATTCGCCTTGCCTGGATTGTACTCCATAACGAAGTCGAACTCGGCCAAAAAGTCTTGCCACCTTGCTTGCTTAGGGGTGAGCTTCTTCTGCGTCAGAAAGTAGCTCGTTGCCACGTTGTCCGTCTTCACTACGAACTTTGACCCCAACAAGTAGTGCCTCCATGTGCGCAAGCAATGCACCACGGCTGTCATCTCCTTCTCTTGAACGGTGTATCGCCTCTCCGTCTCGCTGAGCTTTCGACTCTCGAAGGCAATGGGATGCCCATCTTGCATCAACACGCCCCCGATTGCAAAGTCGGATGCATCGGTCTGCACTTCGTAGGCCAACATCGGGTTGGGGAGCACGAGCACGGGCTCCTTCGTCACCGCTGCTTTCAAGGCCTCGAACGCTTCTTGGCACCTTTCCGACCAATCCCACGCCTTGTTCTTCTTCAAGAGATCCGTCAAGGGTGCTGCAACGTTGGAGTAGCCCTTGATAAACCTCCGATAGTAGTTGGCAAGGCCGAGGAATGACCGCAACTCTGGCACCTTCGTCGGCGGCTCCCATTCTTGGATTGCCTGCACCTTTGCTCCATCCATCTTCAACTTGCCTCCACCAATGACGTGCCCCAAGAATGGAACCTCCGTGGCGGCAAAAGTGCACTTCTCCCTCTTGACGTACAACTCGTTGTCGCGAAGGACTTGGAAGACTTGGCGTAGGTGCTCGGCATGCTCATCGAGTGTTTTGCTATACACGACGATGTCATCCAAGTAGACCACGACAAACCGGTCCAAGAATGGCTCGAACACTTGATTCATCAAAGTGCAAAACGTGGCTGGTGCGTTGGTGAGACCGAATGGCATCACAAGAAACTCGTAAGAGCCATACCTCGTCACACAAGCCGTCTTTGGCTCGTCGCCCTCTGCTATCCGCACTTGATAGTAGCCCGAGCGAAGATCTAGCTTGGTGAACCACATTGCATCTCCAAGCTGGTCGAACAAGTCGGCAATGTTGGGAATCGGCCACTTGTTCTTCACCGTCAACTTGTTGATGGCTCTATAGTCGATGCACATCCGCAACGACCCTTCCTTCTTCTTTTGGAACAGCACCGGTGCTCCAAAAGGTGACTTTGATGGCCGCATGTAGCCTGCGTCCACCAAGTCCTTGAGTTGCCTCCGCAATTCTTCTAACTCCGGTGGCGACATGCGGTATGGTGCTCGCGAAGGGGGCTTCGCTCCCGGCTCCAACTCGATCTTGTGGTCCACCTCTCTTCTTGGTGGTAGTTTCTTGGGAAACTCCGATGGCATCACATCATCGAACTCTTTGAGGACACCTTCGATGATGGGAGTTGTGATTCCCGTTGAGCCTCCATCTTCCTCCATCTTCAAGGATACGAGAAAGGTTGGTTCATTCTTCTTGAACCCCTTCACCACTTGCATGGCCGATAGAGCACTATGGGGACCATCTTCTCTCAAGAGATGAACAGTATGGAACTCCCCTTCCTTCTCCAAGCACATCGTGTTGGAGTTGGGCTTCAAAAGCACTCCCTCCTTGTCGAGGAAGTGGATGCCGAGAATGACTGGGTGATCGTCCATGGTGACGACGGAAAAGTCGATGAGGCCTTCCCACTCGCCAAGCTTTATTGGTACGTTGTGCGCCACTCCATGAATCGGGATGGACTCCGAATTGATCGTCTTGAGCCTCCCTTGCCCCTTCTCGTAGGCAATACCCAGCCGGTTCGCCTCCTCGACGCGAAGAAAGTTGTCTGTGGCACCGGTATCCACCAAGGCTTTTGACTCGCCTTGCATGAATTGCGCCAGAACATAGCACCTCCCCCGCTTGCTCTCCTTGACGTCGGTCTTTGCCGCGCCAAGCTTGCGGATTGAGCCAATCTTGGCCTCCGCCGCCTTGGGCTCCTCATCTTGAGCCCCCATGGCTGCTAATCTCGCCTTTCTTGGGCAATCTCGCACTCGATGTGGTCCGTCGCAAAGGAAACAAGTCATGGGTTTTGGCTCGTACTTACCCCCTTTGCTCGAACCACCTTGGTGTTGTTGAGTGCGAGAACCCTCCTTGAAAGGCTTCTGCTGTTCTCCACCTTTGTTGGGCTTCGAACTCTTCTCTCTGCCGCTGCTCTCTTGTCGTTTGTACTCGACAAAAGACTCTGCCGTGGCCATGGCAGTTGCAAGGTCTTGCACTCCTCGACGTTGCATCTCCATCTTGGCCCATGGTTGCAGCCCATCAAGAAAGCCGTGCATGGCCTCCTTGTCCGTGATGTCCGGGATCTCTAGAAGCAGCTCCGAGAATTCTTTCACGTATTCTCGAACTCCACCCCTCTGGGTGAGTCTTCTCAACTTCGAACGGGCTTCAAACTCCACGTTCTCTGGGTAGAACTGCCTCTTGATCTCTCTCTTGAAATCTTCCCACGTTGCCATCACACAAGTACCTCTTTCGACGTCCGCTTCACGTCGCCTCCACCACACCATGGCAACATCAACCAAGTAAAGTGGAGCGGTACGAATCTTTACCTCATCCTCTTGGATGCCGGACGCCTTGAAGTACTGCTCAAGACTCCAAAGGAAGTTCTCTAACTCCCTCGCATTCCGTGAACCTCCGAAGCTCTTCGGTCTTGGAATATCAGCACGTGGGACGGATTGCACCGCAGCTGGTCCGCTAGCCATGGCTCTCTTCACGAGAGTGACCTCACTCTTGAGATCTGCAATCTCCTCCTTCACGCCGACCAGCTCAGCCTGGACTTGCTCTTTCACAACTCCAATGGCGTTGTTCAAGGATGTGGTGATGGTGTTGTTGATGAGGGCCGCAAGCTCTTCTCGTAAGCCATCATTACCAATCTCCAAGCTCGACAAACGAGCATTCATACCTTGAAAATCGCTTTCGACTTGGGTGAAGTTTGCTCCCAAATCCTCGATGGCACTGATGTCTTCCGCCAACTTCACCTCCATTCTAGAGACACGCCTCTCTAGAGACGTCATAGGATCACGAGTGCTTGACTTTTCACCCTTTGGTTTGGGATTCTTCACGGTATCCCTTCCACGGTGCTTCTCATCGTCGTGGACTTCTGATCCCGACATTTTTGGTGAGGTTCTTCCTTTCCTTCTGGCTCTAGGTTCAACTTTGCTAGCACAAAGCCGAACCAGGCTCTGATACCACTTGTCACGACCTTACTCTTGATCGTGCGGTCCTAGCTCTCAATTCCGTTAGAGCGCTAGGCAGCCTTTCTCTCAACTCACTTGAAAGCAAAGAACAAGAACAAAGACAAAGGAAATGGGAGAACTCTCTAGTGTGTATTACTCTCAAAAATGATGGAATGAGTACAAATGAGGGAGATGGCTCCTTATATAGGCCTCTCCACATACAAGGCATCAATGCCCCTCATAAAGTCCCTCTACTACATCAATACACCCCATTAAGTCCCCCCATTATGCACTCTATCAATGTCACCATTATGTGACTCATAAGTGCACTATAAAGCTCTACATTATGGTGGAGAATCCTAGGAGCATCTCTATGCTACTAGCCTTCCATGCATGCCACATGTGCTGCTGCCATGTTGTCACCTTGTTGGCGCCATGTCATCTGCCACATGTGACAGAACCCATGGAAGGTGGTATGTAGAGAAAACTCAGAATCCTCCTACAACCTATTTCTTCTTCCCGGATGAAGTTATCCTCGTACTACTCTAACGTGAGATACCCTAGATATGTCCCTAGTGACGATGCATGCTTTTCTTACTCTCCTTCTTCCCCTTGCAGCACCAACCGATAGGATTATAGGGGGAAATCTCACCTTAGGTATGTCTCCAATACCCGATCCACCAAATCCCCCACAGCTAGCGACTCTTTCCGCCACCGATGGCCACAAGAACTAAGGTAGATGGTAATGAGAAAGGAAGATGATGAAGAGGTTTCTGTCCTTATATTTCTCTTGATGCTTAGAAAGAAGGGATGAGATAAGGGTGGCAGCCAGCTCTTCCCGGATGAACTACCCATCTACCTCCCACCCCATTAAATTAACTCATAAGGATGGCTACGTGTAGATTTAAAGGTTGGCTTGGAAACTGGGGCTTTTCCCATCATAATGAACTAGAAACAAGAGCTCACTTCTCTTCGGTGAATGAGAGTCTATTAAGTAAGTTGGTTATAACACAATAGAAGTGTAACCCAATACTTGACTTGATGGAGGACGACCCTACTATCTAGAGGGATTTATATCCTTCATTCTTTTCCTCTTTTAAATCTCTTTAATTTGAACTAATTTGGAATGGTTTTGGGTAATATGACCCATCATGCCAAGTTTAACTTTATTTAGTAATAACATTACTTATACCGAAATCATGATTTAAGCACTCAAAATACGAGGATGTTACATTTACTGGCGTACTGTTACACGAAACCCCATAAACCAGAGAACGCAACAAACAGAGAGAAGTTATACGACTCTATTTTCTTTTATACATTTGTAGAGAGGACAATTTAATGAAGAAGAAAACATTACATTGTTTCCAAAATAAAAACAATGAAACAAAAATCTAAGCATGAAACAAGAGTCCAATTTGTATATTTTTCCATTTTAGATTTAAAACACCAAATTAAAAACTCTACTTATAACCCATCTAACATTCTGAAAATATTTAGCATTATAGAAAGAAACGTTATTTGTCCATTAATTAGTCAAAATAAATTAAAAAAATCTAAAAAAAGAAAAACCCAACTGAGAGATGGAGATGGCATTGGGAAGGAAAAATTTAAATGTTCTCCTCTTAATTTCCAAGGCCTCATGCAGCCCAAGACCCCATCCCAATATCCAATAAGAGAATAAATTTGTTTTTCAATATAAAAGAAATTAATGCTTTTTTTAGGAGAAAAGAACTTAATGCTAGCTAAAAAGAAGAGTTTGATCATAGAAAAAGAAGGTAAAAAACATATTTTCCGGGAAGCGAGGAGACAGCTCAGACCCCGGCGTGCTTTCCGTGTTCAATTTTTATAATAATAAGCGACTGGATAGTTGAGAATCGGCTGACCGGTTTGAATGGTTTTGATGGTTAACCGTTCAAACCGTTAACCGGCCGGTCAGTTCAGTCATTGCGGCTTTTTAACTCTTTCGAGCCGGGCTGGTGGACGAGTCCCGATTTTACCGGTCCGATCGACCGGCTCGGCTCAGTTCTGATAACACTGGATATGACCCTTCGGGTGGGTGGTTACACCCCAACCAACATATTGGTTCATTTTAAAATAATGAACCACTATATCGGTTCGACCCATGGTAGTTGAATCGGTTGGTTCGCTCCAACCGCCATATTGGTTCGGTAAAGGCATTGGATGATCGATTTGAAGCTTCTGAAATGCCATTTTCTTTCAATTCTGTCCGAGGCTCTAAATAGACCAATTTTCTCCCGTCGATTTGGTCCGATTGATTACTAAAACCAATTTGACCAATTACCAAAAGATTTAATCAAATCGACCGACCGAATCCAAGGCCTACTTCCTATATATATAACCAATATGGTATTTCAAGAGTTTCTCTTGGCTCCTTCCCCTTTCATTCCCATTCACACCATTCAAAATCCAAACAAGCCACCACATGAATGGCGAATGCAAGTTTTGGAAACTATGCAAAAATTGTGTGACTCTCAACTAAAAATTAGTTGCATCGGGATAAGTGAGTTTCCCTTTCAACCTTCCGTAGTAAACATATATCGAGTATACTCACCAATCGGTAGATATGATATCTTTGAACTGTCAGTTTTTCTTGTATACTAAGACAACATATGTCACACAACTAACTCTTATCCGTTCATTGGTTCTCATCGTTGTGTTCGTTTGTGCACAAGTGCGTTTATTAACGTCAATCTTTGCTGATCAGACTATTGAACTTCACCGGTCTTAGAATGAGTGTATAGTTTAACTTAGGCGTTTTCCAAGATAATGCTCCTCATCAATCATAAACGCCTCCATTTAATGGATTATACATTTTGGTTCATCCGGTGAGTTTTTTTTTGGTATAATACACCAAAAAAGAACACGGGACCAACAATGGAGCGGGGTGGACGGAGGCCGAATGGGCCGAGCAGAGCGGGAGGCCCAGGAGGACTTGGCGGGCTGGGAGGACTGGACGGACAGGGCGGGTCCGGATAGCCGAACAGGCCAGGAGGAGTGCACGGGCCAGGAGGACTGGGAGGCCGATTGGACTAGAAGGGCCGGGTGGGCTGGATTGGCCGATTGAGCCAGGAGGCGGGCCCAGTGGAAGGAGGAGGCGAGCCGAGGGATCGTGTGCTGAGTCTGGCCAGACTCGCGATTATGGTTCGGGTCGGTTGGATGAGCAAACCGGTCCATTTCGTCAGAAGTTGGCTCGATTGGAGTTTCCGAAATATAACGGGAGCGAGGATCCATCTGCATGGTTCGCACGAGTAGAGCTGTTCTTTAAATTTCAGGACACTCCGGAAGAACATAGGTGCTCTTGGAATCTTATCACATGGAAGGAGATGCCAATCAGTGGTGGCAATGGTTGGATCGCGCTTACACAACGTCGAGGTTGACCATGACATGGCTCCGGTTTTGTGAAAAGTTATGGGCAAGGTTTGGTCCGTTCGACAATGTCTCTTGCCACGAGGCGCTAGCCAAAATCGAGCAAACCGGTTCCTTGAGTGACTACTTGTTGACTTTTGAGAAACTGGGTAATCGGTGCTTTGGGTGGACTGAAGAAGCGCTAGTGGGCTCATTCATGGGTGGGCTCAAATATGAAATTTCTGATGCAATTCGCATGTTCAAGCCAGAAACTATGCGGGAGGCAATACGACTTGCTAAGGTGAAAACTGCAGAGCTGGAAAAACATCGAGGAGTGCAAAGGAATCCAGCGCGAGGACCCTTGGAGGCCGCGGTCGAGCCACCACCGCCTCCGTCGCGGGTCGCACCACCGCGCAACCCAAATGCGAGAAGGATGTCGCCAGAAGAGGTAGCACGTCGTCGGGCGCAATGACTCTGCTTCCATTGCGACGAACGCTTCACGATTGGCCATCGTCGTCCCAACAAGAACGTGCTACTAATGATAGGCGCATGCACCGACGAGGAGGAGGGTCAATCCGTTCACGAAGATGACCAACCTTGAGGGCAAGGTTGCTGCGAAGAGGGGAGGAATGTAACGAGAATCAAACAATCGTAACTATTGGGCTTCAATACGGGCTTGGATATTTTATTATCTAGTATTTTAGTGTTATTTTTCTTTATTATTGCTTTCATTGTTCGAGTAGGATTTGGTTTATTGTTTAGGAGTTTTATATTACATCCTTGTAGTTTGGGTTTCATGTTTTGGTTAGGAAAAAGAAACAGGAGGTCGCAGGCCTAGTAGGAAGAGGATTGGGATTTCGGGTTTTCCTATCCTATAAATATGTACTCATATTCTAGTTTAATGTCATGTTGAAGATTGGAACCCAATAGTAGTTGTAGTTATCTTCGTTCCTCTGAACATTCTCTTCGTTCTAACTCTCTTTCTTACGAATATCTTTCAACATCGTCGACGCTAGTTACGTAAAGGTTATCACCGGAGAAATACATGTAACAAGCCTCAATAAAATAAGTAACGAGGATTAGCTTATTAGTGATATGTGACCCGCTGTAATTAGTGCGTTCAATAGTTAGTTTTTAGTTATCGTTAACGTACACTAATTATTGTAGAGTACATATATGAATAGAAAAATCAGAGAAAGGGCATTCTAACAAGTTCTCCCAAAATACCAGCTCATTCTTATCTTCCTCTTCTTCTTCCTAAAGCAACAAACCCTATCATTCTCTAGGGCTAGGCTCAATCTTTCTCATAGTTTCAGAGCCTGGTTGGCTACTCACTTAGAGATTCTTCTACTCCTTTCTCCAAATTATGTGTTCTATTCAACTATCTTAGACTCACACAATGTCAGACATTTGATGTTAGGCATTTCTGAACAAGAAACTACTGTAAATATATCTTTTCGTACTGCTACTGCTATTGAAGCACCTCATATACGACCCATGTACGAAGATCCACACAACAATCCATTTTATGTAGCTTAGAGTGACAATTACTTCCTTCCTGTCATCGGATTCAAACCCTATCACACCAAGAACAAACTAGGCTTCGTCCTAGGTACGATTTTGGTACCCGATATCACAGACCCCTTTAATGGAACTTGAGATAGGGTTAATGGTACTGTTTTTGCAGGAAACATTAGGGTTGCTCCTTAAGTTTGGAATCACCTGCATTCTAAGTTTAGTCACAGTGATTCACTAAGAATTGCTAGCATATAAGAGAAGATAGATCTGGCCAAACAAGGAAACCAGACCATTCAATAGTACTCTGCCATTCTCAAACTCCTATGGGATAAACACCAAAGGTATTTACCAATTCCATATTGTGAATATGCATCTAGGACTTATGAATCTATGATGAAGTATCAGAAACACAATTTACTCGGGTTTCTATATTTAACATTATATTAATTATTAGAATTATTATTGATATGATTAATAGTCTTTTAGTCGTATTAGGTTTATTAATGGGGTTTTCTAGTCTTCCGCTATAAATATGTATGTTGGGATTCATTCGTTATAAATCAAGAAGAATATTAAGATTATTAAGAATAATATCCCAACCCTAATCTCTCTATCCTCTCAATTCTCTATCTCTATCCCTCTAAGGCCTCAGACGATTTCTATCTTTCTCTTCTTCTTCCCCAAATCCCAATTCTCAATTGCTAATCTTCTATGAATCCCAATTATTAAACCCGATAGAAAGTTGTTTCTATCATGTTGATGCTATGATCCACTACCATATTTGGATAGTGTATACAGTTATGTGGTTCAACATGAAAGACAATTCAATGGTACATCTAACAAAACGGGAAGGTCTGAAGAGGCAACACTTGCTAAACAAAAAAATCAAGCTGGCCAGAGCAAAGACAAAGGACCCAGAGAAGGTCAGCAGGAATGCATGTTTTGTCGATACTACAAAAAGGATAACCATGTTATCCGGGATTGCTGGAAGCTTAAGAAAAAGAACATACCCTTTGCAGGTTCAATGGATGTTAGTGTTGGAGACAAGGGGTAACGACTCAGGTGGGAATTCATCTTACTCAACACCAGTCCAGTGAGCCATGTTGAATCCCACTTCACTTTCAATGGCCTTACAATTGTTGAACTAAAAAAACTAAAGTGCCTTCTGTCAGGCGATCTATATCAACCTCCATCTCCTTCCTCTCAAGCCAATTCAATGGTCACTAGAAGTTTCACCATGACAAGTATTACTGTGTTCTCTACTCATAATGGTGTCAGTAGTATGTATGTTTGGATTTTAGACACTGGAGCTAGTGATCACATATTATGTTATATGGATATGTTTCTAAGATGTAAGTAAAAGACATGCAGTTACCTTATTAAATGGCCACCAAGCTATAATAACACAAATTGTGATTGCCAAGTTGTCTTATGGTCTCTTTCTCACTAATGTATTGTTAGTCCCCTCCTTTAGCTGGAAAAAATCCAAAAGTACCACTGGTAAAAAAAAAAATCCAAAAATACCAATCAATCCCAAAAAATTCCAAAAATACCACCCTTTTTCAAAAACCGCCACCTCACCCTGCGGTTTACACGAAAACCGTTGGGCGGGGGCACGATTTTCTATGCAAACCGCTGGGCTAAGGGGCGGTTATAAAAACCGGACCAAACCTTAACATAACTGTACGCAACTAATACAATTATTTTACCGTTAATAAAAGTAGCCACCAAACAAAAATGTATGTCAATTGTATGAGGTTATTGAATTGGATGTTTATGTGTGAATACTCTTAGTTTCTTAGCAATTATCAAAGGATGAAAAGGTCTTCCCTTTCAGGTTTTCATCCAGCATAATGTATGAGTTTTTATCTAAATTAGGTGCTCATATGTGTTGTCTATACTTGACTAGATACCACTACAACTCAATCTCGATTATAGGCCAAGTGTAACCTATAACCGGGTGTGGCACAGAGTAAGTATTTCAAATATCAACCTGGCGATCTATATAACCTTACTTGTCTACAAATTATCTAGCAATCAAACTTTTGTTAAAGCTAATCAACTAGGGTAAATACAATATAATAGCCAAACCTTTTCAATCAAAACAAATTAATTACCAAACCGTTAACTTTCCATCCAATTGACCGTCAGTTGAATCTGACGTGGCAATTCAATTGTTGAGTTGGAAAAATCTCGATGATGTGGCAAAAAGGTATCCGTTTGATTGTACTTTATTTGTAACTTAATGATCTTTACTTTATCATTTATTAATTTTTAAAACAAGAATATAAAAAAAAAAACTCATCACATCTGAAATCCCTAATCTCCTCGTCGCCTCCATCCTGCCGTCCAGAGCTGGCGGGATCCTCCAACTTTCCGTTCACCCTCAAATTCTGTGATGAGCAGCGGAAGACTCACCATCGACTTCTCTTCTCTCCTCTCTTCCTCCAGGTCCAAATGTGCATCCTCCCTCTGTCCCCCACTCTATCGTCGCCTCTTCCGGCAGGGTCTTCATGTCCATCGAATGGATGCCCGGCCAGCCCCGACCCTCCAACCTGGTGGAGGTTTCTGATCGCGGGAGGGTCGGCGGGGCTGGAGGGAGGTTGAGTTTCCACTTTTCCCTCTCAAATTTTACCAACCCCTCCCCATTTCATCTCAAATACCCATATTCGAGACCCACTTTTTCATGGGTTGGGGGGTAAACTTCCACACAAATTTTCAAATACCCATTTTTAGATGTGGGTTGCAGTTAGTGTAAAGCATCATCGGGATTATGTCGTAAGGTAAAAGATGCACCATTATTTACCATCATCATGTTACCAGTTACCGCTTTAGAACGACTAGCATGTCTACTAGTAAATTCTTCTTAAGTGTTGAGCATGTTTTGTCATCCTAAATTATCTTTACAAACACACGAGTGCAAATTTTAGACAATGAACAACATATTTAGAAATTAATTTGCTACTATTCTGGATAAAATAGAAATTTTATGAGCCAAATTGGAACGCAATGAAAAGATAAAAGGATTAGCAATGAAACACTAAAAAGTACAACAGAGTGGGGTAGGAAAAAATGAAAAATAAAAAAAAGTATTAATGTCAAATTAGTACATGATTATACTCAACAAAACTTGTTTTTTTGTTTTCTTCTTCTAATACTTACAATCACAGGGTCAGTTAATCACATTCAAAACACCAAAACCCACAAAATACACAATTAAAAAATTTAAAGAAATTAAAAAAAATCACTCATATTTTCTTCCTGAAAAATGGCGCCAACCCTATGTTCATCATCACATTTTACATTTTCATAACTCATCTTTAATAATAAGTATTCTCAATCTCGCCGCTCCATTTTCTCGTCCTCGTTCATGTCTTCTTCCTCGCCATGGAGGTCGGGTTCCCATCAAACAACCCTTCAATCAAGTTTTCAATATCCTCTGGCTGATACTTTATATACTTTTCTGTCTGCCTCCCATGCGTCAAGCATTGTTGAAACCTTCCTAAGAACGATCTGTATGCCGGAATAACCACTGCTGACACTGACACCCGCAACTCCGACTGCATCTGTTCATCGCTCACAACCCATGTGCTTTGGGTTTTGTGTATATCCTCGATCGCATTGTTAAACATTTTGAACCTCTCCTTAACCACCGCCTTTGCCATTTTCCCATTCACCTGAATCCCGTCGTGCCTTAAACATTGCAAAACTCTGCCCCAAGTCTCTCTAGTATACCCTTTATGGTATTTTCTCAGATCAGACGACCGCCGTCGACACCACGTCACTCCCATCATGTCATGAATCTCCGTCGAACTCTTAATCTTTTGTAAGATGTACCTATGTTAAGGATGGAGATATAATTCAAGCTCTTAATAATTTACTGCATACATAAGAATAAGCATACTAATACTTTGGCATATAAAATGCTTGCTCAAAATTAAACATTACCTGCCATTATTCATGAGAAATATGTTCCTCAATGCTGGATCTTTGTACAAATTCGACTTCATCTCCAAATTTTCATCAAGGAGATCCATAACTGTGTTTAGTTGAATAGAAAATGGGGATGTTTTAGGCGTGCCATCCTCATTCGCTCCCCCGACGGATCCAGATCCAGATTTGGACCCGGAGTCGTCAGATTTGGAAGATGATGAATCCCAATTTTCTCCTTCGGTTTTTTGCTTTTGTAAAAACACTTGCTCGAGGGTATCTTTATACTCACATGCGTACTTGAGGTAATTCATGGTGTATCGTGTCAAAGGGTGGACTGCACCGCTGGGGACTGGAGTTCGGCTGACATCACGACGGATTGAGTTTTCGAGATCGCAAAACATGGAGACGGCAGCTTGCCCTAAGCGAATTATGGTATCGTAGATCTCGGATTTGACTGTGGGAGAGAGGTTCTCGATCTCTGATCCGAGATCTCGTAGAGTTTCGTAGATGTCAAGGAACTTGAAGAGCTTCTCGGCAGAGCACTTGGTAAGGGTGATCGCGTTAGCGAAATTGAAGAATCGGTCAATTACGTTGGAAGCTAAGTCACTAAAGATCTCTGTGTAGATGGAAGGGTGGTTTTGGAAGACTGCGTTGCAGAGGTTTCTCTCGACGGAGAAGAGAACGGAGGAGCACCGATGGATGACGTCGATTGCGGCAGCAATTTCTCCCTCTAGGGTCTCCCAATCCATCTTGTTAATTTCCTCGGCACTGAGATTAACGTGACCCAGTTTTTCTAATTTGTTGTTGAGAGCTATCCGCCGAACAGACCCGTATACCAAACAACATTCTGATTGGTAGCCAGAGGAGATCATCGCTGCGGCGATTTTACTCATGTTGTAGATCTCTTCCGGTTGGTACCCCGGAAAATCGTCCTCCTCTGTGGAGTTTTCAGAATCAGATATCTGGTTGTTTGATTCGTGGAAATTCCGTGAGAAGGACGACTGTTTGGATGACATTGGAGGAGGAGGACCGGCGCCTGAGTCAGGCACACAGTTTCCAGTGGCGAACGAGGATGATCGCTTGAAGGAGTTGAGAACGGTGCGAAACTCACTATCGAGGAAGCACATAGCGAGGTGTTGGATCGTGCTAGCCCGGTTGAACGTGGCGACGAGGTCGGATTCAGCAGTGGAGAAGTCGCCAAGGATTTTGATCACCTTTGATAAACGGTTGAGATGTGCAACAAGGGACGCGTCTTCTTTCTCGTCCTGGCCAAATTTGGAGTTCGATTTGTCATAATTGCTGATGATTGACTCGACGGTTTTGAAGAGAGACTCGACGGCATCGGGGACCGGCGGGGGATCTGACTTGGCTTCGTGAGATTGCGAAAGGACTTCAAGGAATTTGTCAACCTCATCCAAGGAGTCGAAGGAGTGTGACGGTGAGAAATCGCCCATAGCTGCGGCACCGGATGTGGTAACAGGGGAATCGTGGACGGAGAGAGCTGGGATGTCACCATTACAGGTTCTGGAGAAGCTCCCAAAATTTTCAGGGAGGCGTTGCTCCATTGGTAAGGAAAGAGAAGGTAGAAATTCAGAGTACTACTCTGTTTACCTAGAATAGGAAGGAGGAAAAAAAAAAAAAAGAGGACGAAGAAGAAGAGGAAGAAGGGGTCATTTACTTTTCATTTACCTTTTTTCATCCCCCTTCTCTCTATTGCGATTGGCTTTTTTTTTTACTTTTAATTTTTTACTTTGTTTTGTTTGTAGATGATGAGGCTAAATTTTGACTGGAGGAGAAGTTTGGGAGACGAAAGGAAGGAATTTTTTTTGGCCGAGGAATTCTCCGATGGTTGTGTGGAGGGGCTCTAACTTTTGACCAGTGACTAGCAATTCACTTTACACCTATTTTTCACCATCCTCTTCTATCATGATTGTCGTTTTCTTATATTTTTATTAGCAGTTAATTATTTCTCTGCAATATATAATTTGCTTAAGGAAATGTTAGCTAACCAAATAGGGCGATACTTGGCAGCAACCTGGGTTGCAGCCCGTAGCAGCTTCCAGCACACATGGCACCTAAGGATTGGTCCAAAAATTATTTCGGGGTTTTTAATGGTTAAATGTAGTCTGAAGGTGGAGGGGACGGAACAGATTCAAAGTTCCGTTATTTCTTTTCCTTTTCCGTTGGAGTGAGATAGAATGGTTCCATTCTTTTTCTTTTAATTAACTTTTACATTTACAATTACAATTTGGTTTCCTTCCTATAGGTTTTATATTATAAATTTTACTTTCCTTTGGCTTTTTATGAGAAAACGGAGAGGGATGTCTTTTTATACAATATGTTAAGAGAAAAAAAATGATTATGTCTAGACAAAATACATATGTATGGGTAATCGGGCGGGTTCGGGTAGGATAGTGAGAAATCCATGTCTACCCATTACTCGTAATATTCGGGTTTGGGTTTTACCCGTCCCCACTAAAAGTCCTTCGGATTCAGGTTTTACCTTGTCCGGTTAGGTCGGATTCGGGCGGATATCCACGGTTACGGATATTTTTGCCATCTCTAAATGGAGCACATAAAGGTCCCACTTTTATTCTTTCAACCAATCTGAGTGTTTGTATTTTGATAGTTAAAGTACAAACCAGTAAGCTAATGCACTAGTAGGTAGGTGCTCCCACAAATGTAGCCTTATGGGTAAATCATGTCTTCAGAGTGAACTAAATGAACCGCAAATTGACCTACTAGTCCAACCAATTATTAATCAAACTTTTCGAAATACAAAATATTAGTAAAAAAAATTTAACACATCAAAATTGCTATCGAAAAGTTAACATTGAACTAATATTTTAAAATTTTGAAAGATAAGACTAATAATTTGAAAAGTTAAAAAGGTTTGGCTAATAAATTGTATTTACCTATTTTTTTATGTTGGGTTAGATTTTCACTTAAAAATATTTTTCACTCGACCCTATCCAATCATAAACAAACGTAGGGTTCTAATTTTTTGGTTGCATTTGGATTTAGTAGGGGACCTTTATGTGCTCAGATTTTTCATAAAAAACCAAAGGAAAGTAAAATTTATAAGATAAAACCTACAGGAGGAAACCAAATTGTAAATGTAAAAGTTAATTCAAAAGAAAAAGAATGGAACCATTTTACTCTCACTCCAACGGAAAAGGGAAAGAAATAACGGAACTTTGAATCCGTTCCGTCCCCTCTACCTTCAGACTACATTTAACTATTAAGAACCAGAAATAATTTTTAGGCCAATTCTTAGGTGGCATGTGTGCTGGAAGCAGCTACGGGCTGCAACCCGGGTTGCTTGCTGCCAAGTATCACCCAACCAATATGTATATAATTTACTTAAGGAAATGCTAGCTAACCAGATTTGTTTACTTCTCTTTCTATTAACAGTTACTTATTATATGATATGATAAAAAATATAATATTCTTAAAAATGATAATTAATTGTAAATATAAAAATAATAAATATTTTTATATATAAATATTTTTATATATAAATATTTTTTATTTTCTTTAGTCGTTTCTTTTTACTTTCATCCCGTTGTACAATAAGAGTGCATCTCTTGGAACACTTTCTCACCTTTTTAATTCTCATATTATTTTTTAATGGACCGTATCTCATTCATTTTAACTCTATATCTTAATTTTTTCGCACACAAAAACTAATTTTTTATTTTATTTTATAACAAGATCCGTTTTATTTATTTAAAAAATGCCATGTTAATATAACATGATTGGGTTGAAATTTCATATTGTTATTTGAGATACATCATCCAATCATCTCCGTGTTTTGTAGTATCGAATGTCATATTAGCTTTAAAGTATGAGTTTGTGATTCATTTTTTATGTTATGCGAGATCACATTTATTTATTAAAACAATCAACGAGACAGGATTTGTCTATCTTCACGAGAATTTAGTTAAAAGTTAAGAATAGATATTTCTATTTTGTTTCATGGGGTTGTATTTATGATTTTTAAACTTGAAGTTGGATATATGGCCAATAATTTTATATATATAGAATGTAGAGCTTTATTTTTAATTTTGAGCTTAAACCACTGCAACAACCAAACTATCAACAAAAATTCCACTTGCATCCTATTTTACTAAATAATCCATTTCTATCCTATTGTATGGTACTTTTTAGTCATTTGTATCCCGGAGTTTTCGCTGACCGTTAGAGAACCGGATGGTGGTCAAACCCACATAAACTATTGATGATGTGGCAGAAACATGACAAACATATAGATGCCGCATCATTGAAACATCAATTTTTTAGTTCAAAAATTAATTAATATTAGAAGAATAATCCGCTTCCCTCTCCATCCTCTTCCCCCGACCATTAACCTTCTTGGGCCGCAATTCCAATCTCCAGCAATTGCTTCTCTGTTCAGTCACTCCATTCCAATCCCTAGCAAGAACGAGGCAAACTTCTCACCACGGTGGCTCCACTAGCTCCGCCAGATCGAGCTCCCATATGAACGGTTGGGTATAAGGAAAAAATGCGAAAGAGAGGGAGAAGGCGATCTAACGAGAGAAATTTTCTTTTAGAGCTTGAGAGAGGCGGCTCGCATCCTCTCTTGGCCTTCCTAGTCATCATCTGCGTGGCCGTGACCAGTGCCAATTTACCTTTTTCGTCAACGCCGGTGACATAACCATGTCAAAGGGTCTAATCAAATCCAAGAACGAAAAGAACACACGAGATTTTTTAACGTGGTATCGCCAATGAGGCACTAGTCCACGGAGAGGATCTCCCTCTCAGGTTTTATGCTTTTCTAATTCGTTAGTTTTTATGTTCTGTTTACAACGATATATATGGTTTGCTAAAACAAACCCTAAACACAATTACATAAAGGTACCAATACTTTAACACCCTCCCTCAAATTGATGTCGATTACTAAACATCAATTTGCACGAGAGATACCAATGTCGGCTAAACTGACCGCCTTTGTGAGAATATATGCAGTCTGATCTTCAGTGGACAAATGACTAATCTGGATAACTCCTTCAGCCACCGGTTGCCGTATGTAATGAACATGTACCTCTATGTGTTTTGTCCTGTCATGGAGAACAAGATTATTTGCAATATGAATTGCACTAGTATTATCTCTATACAACTGCATTGGTTGTTTGCAATTGATTCCTAGCTCTTCGAACACCCTCTGCAGCCACACCATTTCCGAACTCACCTCTGACATTGACCTATACTCTACCTCTATTGATGACTTCGATACTTTTATCTTGTTTCTTACAACACCAAGACACGAAGGAACGACCCAACCGAATACACCATCCTGAAGTAGATCTTCTAGTATCCAAGCACCCTGCGTAATCTGCATCGGCAAAAGCTTCAATGATGGGTTCACCTTCTGAAGGAAACGAGAGTCCGATGTCTTCTGTATACTTCAAGTAACGTAGTATCCTGTAAACTGCATCCAGATGTTGAGTCTTGGCAGAACCCATAAACTGACTCACAACCTGTACTGCATATGCAATGTCGAGTCTCGTATGTGTGAGATAGATCAAACTCCTTACTACGCTTCTGTAGAAAGTCTGATCCTCCAACAAGTCACCACTCAATCTACACAACTTCAAATTCGGTTTCATAGGTGTTGAACATGGCTTTCAGTCTTGATACCCTGAAGCAGTAAGAAGATCATATATGTATTTCTTCTGGCACAAGAAGTAACCAGCTGCCGAACGTACTACTTCGAGTCCCAAGAAGTATGAAACAGGACCAAGCTCTTTTAGATTGAATGCATCTCGTAGAGCTGCAGTTAAATCTTTAATTCCATCCTGGTCACTCCTTGTAACAATCATATCATCAACATATAGCAATAACACGACAATACCATCAAGTGTCTTCCTGATGAACATGGACGGATCATTCTCAATATGAAGAAAGCCAGCCTGAACAATCGTTCCATGAAACTTTTCCAACCATGCGCGGGGTGCCTGCTTTAACCCGTACAAAGATCGTCGTAGTCTACACACCATTCCTGGTCCACCCTCAGTATATCCCTCTAGGCACTCCATGAAAATTTTCTCATTCTGATCACCATGCAGGAAAACATCTTTCACATCAAACTGAATAATATCCCACCCATGCATGGATGCTACAGCGAAAACACTGCAAACCGTTTGCATTTACACCACTGGTGCAAACGTCTCGTCATAGTCTATCACATACTCCTGTCTGAAGCCCTGTGCGACCACACGGGCCTTATGTCTCTCGATAGAGCCATCTAGATTCATCTTAATGTTATAAACCCAACGACACACAATAACAGTCATCCACGACATGTGGGGAACAATATCCCACGTATGATTCGCGTCCAAGGCGTCCATTTCTACCTTGATTGCAGCATCCCATAAGGGGTTCCCTTTAGTAAAGCGATAGTGTGTGGGAATACTAACTGGTTCCGTGGAGAAACCCACGTAGTCGTGCATCCTAAGAGGCGGTTGTCCAAGATTTTGGCGATTTGATCTTTGGGGAGCTGGTAATGGCGGAGGAGATGGCGGTGAGGGCGGAGAACCGCTGCCAATGGAAGATGTCGAGCTGCTGTCACCTGAAGATGATGAGTTGCTGTTGTCAAGAAAAATAACATGGCATGATACTCGAATGTGGTGTTCAGTGGGATCATAGCAAATATATCCTTTCTGCCGAGAACTATAACCTATAAACACACAGCGAGTTGTTTTCATGTCAAGCTTATGACGTTCTTTCTTTGGTTTAAGAACAAAGCATAAAACCAAAGACACTTAGAAAGGAGTAATATGGAAGACACCCATATAGACGTTGGAAAGGAGAATCACCATGCAAAACCGTCGTCGTCAGGCGGTTGAACAAGTATATGATTGTACTTATAGCCTCCACCCAGAATCCTTTTGGTACCATCGAATGACGCAGAAGTGCTCGAGTAAGCTCAACAACGGGTCTATGCTTGCGTTCCACCAAACCGTTCTGCTGTGACACACGCGAACAAGACAGCTGAGAAAGAATTCCGTGTTGAGCATAAAATTCTTGTAACGGATTGAATGTAAACACCCCCCCAGGATCAGAACGAATGATCACAGTTTTACCAAATTGCGTATGAACCATATGAACAAAATCTTTTGCATAGGTGATCAACTCAGATTTATTCCGCAAAAAATAAATCCATGCAAAGCGTGTCACCTGATCAACAAAGAGAGAAAAATACCGATATCCCATCCATGACGTAACATGAGACGGACCCCATAGATCTGTATGAACAAAATCAAACGGAGCAGTAT